CGAGCTGAGCCGGCGGAAGAGGTCGAGGAAGTTTCTTTGGACCCGGTTGAGCCCGAGCGGAAGGTGAAGGTAGGCAAAACCTTACCGCTTGAATTAAAGGAGCAGTTATTGGAGGTCCTCCGAGCATTCAAGGTGCTATTCGCTTGGGGACCAGAGGATATGCCAGGGGTCGACCCAAAAATCATCTGCCATAGATTGGCAGTGGATCCGACCCACAAGCCGGTCAAACAGAAGAAGCGTTTCCTTTCCGTAGAACGGAGAGAGTTTGTCACCAAGCAGGTGACCACCCTGCAGTTCATTGGGCACATCCGGGAAGTCCGCTACCCGGAATGGTTGGCAAATGTAGTCCTCGCACCCAAAGGGAATACCTGGCGGATGTGCGTCGATTACACTGATCTAAATAAAGCTTGCCCGATGGATTCTTTTCCTCTCCCCAACATTGATCAGTTGGTTGATGAGACGGCAGGATGTGAGCTGATGAGTTTCATGGACGCATTCAGTGGATACCATCAGATCAAGATGGCAGTGGCGGATGAAGAAAAGACCACTTTCATCACCCCCAATGGGGTATACTGTTACAAGGTGATGCCTTTTGGTTTGAAGAATGCTGGGGCGACCTATGCACGGATGGTGAACAAGCTGTTCGCGCCAGTACTAGGGGAGAGGATGGAAGCGTATGTGGACGACATGATTGTCAAGTCCAAACGGATGGAGTCTCATGCTGGCGACCTGGAGAGAGTATTCAAGATCATGAAAAAGTTCCAGCTTCGCCTTAACCCCAGGAAATGCACATTTGGGGTGCAGGGGGGTAAATTCTTAGGACATATGGTCAGCCGGAGAGGGATCAAGCCTAACCCGGAAAAGGTAAAGGCGATTTTGGAGATGGAGCCTCCGCGAAATGTAAAGGAGGTCCAGCAGCTCACCGGCAGGATTGCTGCTCTCAGTCGTTTCTTATCAAAGATAGCTGATCGAGCGGCTCCTTTCTTTCAGACCATCAAGAAGAGTAGAGGGTTCGTTTGGACCGAGGAATGTCAACGGTCTTTTGAGGGGTTAAAAGCATATCTCCTCTCCCCACTAGTGCTTTCGAAGCTAGAGCCCGGAGAGACCTTATTCCTATACTTAGGAATCTCTCCTCGACCTGTGAGCTCGGTGCTTGTGAGGGAGGAGGAGGGCGCACAACGACCCGTGTACTATGTGGCCCGAGTGCTGCGAGGGGCGGAGTTGAGATATACCAACATGGAGAAGACCATCTTTGCGGTGAAAAAGCTCACCCCATATTTTCAAGCCCATCCGGTCCATGTGTTATCACAAATTCCCATCGGAACGCTTCTTCGAAGCCCAAATGCCCCGTCACGGGTCAGCAAGTGGGGAGTGTTCCTGGGATCCTTTCAAATAGAGTTCAAGCCGCGACCGGCGATAAAGGGGCAAACATTAGCAGATTTCGTGGTAGAATGCACTGCGAGGGAGGTAGAATCTAGTGGAGAAGAACCCGAGGGGAATTGGTGGACCGTGTACACCGATGGGTCGTCCGCGACTGATGCTTCGGGGGGAGGTGTCGTGGCGATATCTCCGGAAGGGTTCAAGGCATACTACGCCGTGAGATTCCGGTTTAAAGTCTCAAACAATGAGGCTGAATATGAGGCACTGCTTTGCGGCTTGAGGTTGGTAGCCTCATTAAAAGCTGAGCGAATCCAAGTCCGGTGCGATTCCAAGCTAGTGGTAGGCCACGTCACTGGAGAATTTGAGGCCAAGGATGAACGAATGAAGAAGTATAGAGACACTGCCCTGGAGTTGCTTAAAGCATTCGGGGCGAACCGGATAGAGCAGGTCCCTCGGGAAGAGAATGCTGAGGCAGATATCTTGTCAAAGCTTGGTCCGGATTCCCCAGATCATATTAAGGCAATGACCCAGGAAGAAGAGTTGCTCAAACCAAGCATCAGTCCCGGACAAGTGCTGATCATCACACTCAGAGAGGAGCCGGATTGGATTGATGAGATTACCATGTACATCCTTGACGGGTCGTTACCCATCGACCCAATCGCGGCAAAGGTGGTGAGGCGACGTGCACCCAGCTACACGCTGGAGTGCGGTCGGCTGTA